GGTTATGCAGGTTTCCTTCCACATCTCTTTCACAGCGTTCAAGTGTCCTTCCACCCAGGTTTCCTTGGAGATGTTGCCTAATGTCTCTCATTTTTTCCTAATGGCTGACTGACGCGAAGATGTCCTTTGTGGTTTCGTACTTTAGTTTCTGTTCTGGGTGTTGAACTTGATTTGTGGTCTATGACCACCCACTTCTTTAAAGGTTTTCAACTTGGTTTCAGAGGTAGGTTCCTTGCACTAGATAGTGAGTGGTGTGAACCTACGACTGCTCCTCTTCTTGATCGTATCTTGTGTCCAGTAGGCTGCGTCTCCACTTTCTTCATATTAAGATGAAGTTAATCTGATTTTTAGTGTGTCCATGTGGTGAAATCAAATCCATGTCGCTTTGTGAATATTATTGTGCTTGCTCACACTTCCTCCAATCACCAAAGCATTAAAGGCACAGAAGTCCTCAAAGAGTTCTCCATTCTCATTCATTTCACCAAGTTCATCTCGACCCATGATTGGTTCTCTTCCTGTGTTGTCTGCTCCCAGTTTGGCATTCATGTCACCCATTAGAATGAATTTCGATGTCGCCAACTGGGGTGAGGTCTTGTCCAGTACTGATTGCAGTTGTCTGTAGAATTCTTCCTTTTTCTCTTGATCCGCATTATTTATTGGTGCGTAGCGTAGCATTGAATGATTGTGATTTTCCTTCCGTTTGATTTGAATCTTTCTGTCGTGATCCTGGAGGAGCTTGTCTCCCACTGCATGAGAGAGAGCCTTCAATGCTCTTGGAGACATCATGATAACCACTCAAAAACTCAGTGTGCTCGTGGTTGTCGCCTGGGTGACAATATCGGAGAAGATTATCGACTCTCCAGTTGACAGTTTGGAGAGTCAACTTCTCATTCCATCTCCTTTCGTAGATTCCTAGCACTTCGATGCTATATCTTCTCAATCTTTGTGCAATCTGGGCAGCCTTGCCAACCAGCTTCAAACAGTGTGCTAACATTCCATGTCCCCATGCTTACTTTTGCTATCATCAAGCGAGAGAAGAAACGTCGACCAATTGACTTCCTGAAGGCCTTCACCAACCGGTGTCATTCCGTCTCCCCGATTCCAGTGAGGAATAAGTTTATTTTTTATATTTTCTTTGCGCTTTGAAGTTTCTTTAGTGATTTGGTTAGTTTTACGGGGTAAGGTTGCTAGCCCTATGCCCATATTTCCCTCTTAATCGTGGCTTAGGACCGGCTTGTAACTAGTGACCTAGTTAACTAGGCGAGGTTTTCGATCGCTTTAATCGTTAGCAATGATCGCAGAGTGAGAAATTGACAACGGTCTAAGCGGTTTCATATTGGTGTTACAAGTTGAAGGGAGATAAGTTATGCATCTTTGGAACTTGCATTCTGCTGGAAGCTTGCGGCTGGTTGAGTCTTCCTGGCTGTCCACGACGTGAAAGTTGTTTTAGCAGAGTACCTGGAAGAGAAAAACAGTTGGAACTGCAGAGTCTGTGGGACATCTGATTGAGGTTTTTCACGCTTAAGCTTCTTAGGGTTGCTAGTCTATTCTTTGGTTTTTCTAAAACCGGAAAAGAAAAACTCATTCCCTTAGTTTTAAAAAATCCTCAGAACATGGAGGAGTGTTCAATATTCAATCCTTCCGACCCTACTTTCCCACAGGAAAGGCGGTGACAGCATTATGCTGCTGGTCATCCGCGGGAAACACCTTGAAGTTGTCATAACCTCTATCTGGCCAGCAGTACGACTTCGTCCTAGGACCCCCATCGTAGCGTAGCAACTTACACTTTGACGGTAACTGCTTTTCGTCTTAACGCTATCTAACAGATTTTTCTGGCATGGTTGAACCTTGAGGGAACAATCGTTCCAGCCAGTGTAACCCTTTGAGTTATTTTGATATGCAAGCCCAACCTCAACGTCAAGGTAGCAGCTAACAATCGAATGAGACGTGAAAATTGCATCAAAAATAATCGAATCAACAACTGAACCATTTTAAGGTTGCGTATAGGGTTTCCGGGGAGCTGTATTCATCGAGTGGTATCCATCAAGGCTGTTCACTATCACCATTCTTATTCAATTTTATCATAGATATTCTTATGGAGGTCTCCCTCTCGTCACCTGACTACACAGAGGTTGATCTAATCACAGGAGAATTTTTCATCAGACCTAGAATATGCAGATGAAGACGCTGACAAGATGCAGAGTCTTCTGAACACTTTGAGTGGCAATTTGAGAATGTTTGGGATGCATTTTTCACTACCCAAATGCAAATTGTTGCTCCAGGATTGGTCTTCAACGGTGCCACGGCTAATACTAGAGTGTAGTGGTTGAGTATGTCGACCACTTCACTTACCTAGGAAGTAGGATCGGCCCTGCTCTGGTAGCTCATTTGCCGACGAAATTTCTGCACGAATACAAAAGGCTCGGCTGGGTTTTGCCAACTTACGCCACCTATGGCGCCGCCGTGATATCCGATTATCTATTAAGGGTCGCGTGTACTGCACAGCAGTCCGGTCTCTTCCACTGTATGGTTGTGAAACATGGCCATTGAAGGTGGAAGGCATGAAAAGACTTCAGATGTTTGACCACCGTTGCCTTCGTAGTATAAGCCGTGTTCCGTGGTGTCACCACGTGAGTAATGCAGAAGTTAAGTGTAGAGTTTTAAGGAGAACAGGTAAATCAGTTGACCCGGTTGTGAACCATCATCGATTAAGATGGTTGGGACACGTGTTGCGCATGCCTAGTTGCCGTCTGCCTCGCCACACAATGTTGTCCGAAATAGGTGCAGGCTGGAAAAATGCCCAAGGCAGCCATACTTAAACATGCCATCAATGTATGAAGTCTTTGACTGTTGGTTTGAGTCATGTGGGGCGATTCAAACTACCCGGCTGGGGTCCGCGGGACAAGAGGAACCAGTGGTTGGAGACTCTAGGTGATATGACTCGGAATCGAAGTCAATGGCGCAATTGTATACACACATTATCCTCATCTTAACAACACTATACCGAATCTCACCATTTTGTCATTCCTCTTTTTTTCTTCTCGGACTTTATATTTCTTTTGACTGCATTTTCTTACCTTCATCTTGCGCCTCACTGCTTTTTTACATGATGTACTGATACGAGGTGTGGCAACTCGGACCTCTGCACAATTAATGCCTGGTCCTATGTTGATGATGATGATGTGTAGGGTTTTAGGCGAGGTACTTTCACTAATCAACGAACCGGAAGATTATTGACTAGGCTTTCAGTCTCGCTGTGTTAAAGGTGGGTTGCATTATGTGAGATTTATAGAGTACCAATAACTGAACAGTTTCAGGTTAGCTAAAATAATCCGTATACTTTATTGAATATTAGTTTTAGACTGTAAGGGTGTGTGTTACAATTCCGTAACGTTTGATCAACCCTACTTAAGTTGATATGCTCTAGTACGTGCCTACGCAGTACTTTACCTAACGTGTAAGTACTGATAACAAAACACAAATCAAAAGAACTGATACGGAATGTATTTGAAGGAGCTATGTGTTTAATGAAAGTAAATGTAATAATAATGAATGGGGGAAAAGTTTAATCAACTTATATGGCTTGTAAGGCTGAACTAGGGACTCGGAATACGTGCGTGGTAACTAGCACAATGGAGCGCAAAATGGTGTCAAGCCTGCTCGGATGCATGCTCGTTGAAACAAAACACCCTAAGCATCTGGAGGCATGCTAGAGGTTTATTTAGTTAATTTAATTTAATCTATTTGTTTTAGCCGTAGTTATATTTTGGTGCCAAGAGGGTGCGCTACAAGACTGTGAAAAAATTTAGATCGAAGAGATAGGAATTCGGATGGTTTGTAAAAATAGACTTTAGATGAAATGATTTAGCGTTGATGTCAATGGTCCAAGTACATCTAACTCCTTGTGGGGCAACTATTTTTTTATATATTCTATTCATTCCTCATCCACTTATGTTAATCTTCTAGCTTACTTTAATGTCACACTACACTTTTTAACTTTATTATTATTATGCTGTTTAGGATTGCAACAAACTTAGTGGATACGTGTGCTACATTTTACCCATTTCACACTTTTTCCGTAGCTAGATGACTGACGTAACTGGCTCAAAAGCCTTAGGAGTATGCTTATTACATGCCCTTAAGCAAGAAACTGACAACATAAAATAGTTTTGAAGTCATCCTGTGTTTAGATTAAAAATTTTTCAATCGAACTGTTTGGTCATTCATTCTTTAAGTCGTCTCTGGCACAAACGAAATATCTGACTATCTATTAAATGACACGTTTGCTTCGCTACAGTTCTCTGTCTCATTTTATGGATGAAACTTGACCACAGATGTCTTCATGACATCGCTCACGCAAGGTTAACTCACCGTAAAGCCAGTATCAAGTCTAGGCATGCGGCACCAGGCAGAAAGCGTAGTCAGTCGATGAAGTGGTTAACCCTCTCTGACTGAGATGTCTTGCACATATATTTGGCATACTGAGCTACCGCCTATAATGGCGTACAATGTTAACGGAAGTGGCACTGTTAAAAGAGAGCTTGGTATAGAGAGCCCAGGACGTGGAAGCAGTTCATGGAGTCCTTGACGGTTGCTCTGAGTGGTGCAGGGAGTTATAAACTGTTTGATCAAAGTCCTCGAGGTGATAAGGACCAGTGGTTAAAAATCCACAACTGCTTGACTGAAAATCGATGACAATGGAAAAGGTGCATTCACTCTTTAACTTATTTGAAAGTTTGAGCATTTGCACTAACTCTCCTTCGATAAATGTTTTCTCCTATACACTTTTGTCTACTTCGATATCACTTTTTCTAAGCACTTGTTCTTTGCATACTGCTTTGAAATGTGATGAACTTAACCGATGCACCTCTGTGTGAGATTCTACGTTGATTGTATCTGTCTCCTATATTTAGTTATTGCACCCTTAACATATTGAATAGTTGGATAATTTATAACCGTATGTAAATGACTAAGTAACTTATCTGTCTTTCTACTAACAGCTTATTTCTTCAAGATGGAGGTTAGTTTCTTTAAAAAAATTAAAACTCAAGATTTTAGGTTGTTCAGCGACATTCTGTGCACACACTTGTTTTCCGCTCTCTCAAGAGAACACATGATATGTTTGAAGCTGACCAGAGTCGCCTTCCAGAAATTGACCAGAAAAGGTAGGGATTAAATGCGGTATATTACTTTCTAAGTAATTTATTGAAGGTCGCTGTCAAAGCTAAAGATCAGTATGGTCCAGTTCTAAAGGAACCCAGTCAAAATCCGCTGAAACCCAAAGAAGGTAAATATTTGCTTCATTGTAACACTTTTTAGCTACTTCAGATGCATCTGAATCTGGAGCTGTTGTTCCTTCTGAAAAGGTCAAGCCTAAGTTGGTCATGATGTTTTGCCTAATAATACATACTTTTAAGGTCTGCATTGGAACAGAACTCTTCTGTGGTTCAAATCGGTAATGAGAAACTGCTGTTGCCGAAAAAAGCTCCAACAATGCCGAAACCAACTTGGCATCCACCATGGAAACTTTGTCGCGTAATTACTCTTGATCTGATTTAGACCCTTTCGTTAGGTTGTTAGCGGTCACACAGGATGGGTGCGGTGTGTGGCTTTTGATCCAACCAATGATTTCTTTGTTACTGGTGCTGCAGATCGCATGATTAAGGTAACTATTTTGCCTAAATTGGATTCATTTATATATCTAGGTCTGGGATTTCGCTAGTGGGACATTAAAACTTACACTTACTGGTCATATAAGTACAGTTAGGGGTGTGGTTGTTAGTGCTCGTCATCCGTATTTGTTTTCCTGTGGAGAAGATAAAACAGTTCGCTGTTGGGATTTAGAGCAAAATAAGGTATTTACTCTTTTTTTTTCATTACATATTTAAATGTAAAGGTTATTAGGCATTATCATGGGCATATGTCTGCTGTGTATGATATCGATATTCACCCAACTATTGATGTGGTCCTTACATGTGGTCGGGATGCAACTGCACGGGTGTGGGACATGAGAACCAAAGTAAGTTGTTCAAAAATTAGTTTGACGTTAGTATTTACCATATGAACGCAATGCTTTGTATTGTTTGGTGTCATTAAGTGAATTAATCGTTTATATGCCGAATAAATTTACTTTAAATTGTATTCCATGTTAACCTATGTGTAGAACTTCGGCACTATTATAAGACCTAATTCCATATTGGACTTGTTTATTTCGTATGGCACGGTGACACTGTAACTTACTTAATGGCATGGTTTGAAAAAGTTGGCCATTCATTATTTTAGTATTGGTACTTTCAATTGAATGTAAAGCAAAATAAATTTGCTTCTACTGATATTCCGCTATTTACTGTTAACAGCTTTATCAAAGATATAGACTACAGCTAGTTATAGTCTATAACTTTGGTTGTTATTACCATTAAATAGTAAAACGTTAGTCGAAACAAATTTAGTTTTGCTTTACATTCATTGGAAAATACAAAATAATGATAATTGAATATCATTTTGATCATAATTTATTAAAAATTAATAAAAGACAATTCAGTGAAGAAAATTTTCTTTTCAAAAACTGTACATCCTAATTATTGTTACAACAATTTATTGCCCATCATCATAGAATATCATCACTAGCTCTGTATATATGAGGTCTTTATATTGTTCATGATTTTCATCAAATTTAATTTTGGTTTTGAAGTAACTTCTAAAAGGTATGCCTAACATCCATAAAGATGAGGCAATTCTGTAAGTACATCTTCTACTTTTATTTAGTATTTCAAGGAGTGTTGTGCATTTAAACAACTTTGTATGCATTTCTGTTCTCTTTATATACCACCATTCTAAAGCATTTTTCATTTCAAATTTCACAATAGTGGGTGCAGCAGATAGCGCTTTCACTTCTTTATGTGTAGATATTTCAGAAGAGTGAGGTCAATGTTATGCTCTTCGATTCAGAATTCTCATTTTATTTTTAGGAAGTCTTATTGAGCAGTTATTTTGCTTTGATTTTAATGGTGTACTGTGGAACCGTATGAACTCATAATTGTTCATACAGTACCACGTAATCTAGGTCATAAGGTTGACACTACTTGGTGGTGAGATTATGACAACCTACCGTACTGTTGACAACTACGTGTTTTGCATTGCTTAATAGACTACATTAGGTAAATAGGTTGGACTATTGTTCCATAATGATTTCCAGAAAATAAAACAGCGAATAAAATTGTGTTGATGTTATTGCTAAGTATAATTTACACTGATTAAGAACAGGTGAAGATGTAGCCTTAACTCCTGACTTACAACCAGTAAATCTCGGGTTCAAATCCCGTTCCATTGTGTTAGAAAAGTGACGTGTACGGAAAAAGAGCATTCAAATAGTTTTATCAACCAAATTTCACACTGAACTGTGATTCACTTGATTAATCCGGATCAGTTTGATCCCTAATTAATTTATATATAGCTTTGTGACTGATTTCCAACTAATTAAATTTTAGCTTTTCGTAATTCTGTGTCAACTCAACTGTTCCACTTCCAGTAGCGTGAAAGTATTATTAAAAACTGCTGTTTGATATTTGGATCCAGAATGCATTTACAATACCGAAAATGGGAAAGTTGTAATGCATTATCCCTTATCATTGTTGTCATTTAGGCTTCAAGCATTGGGTGTCGGGTTCTTACGCCCACTTCCCCTGTTTCAACCCTGACAGCCGGGTAATATCGTAAGCTGATAAGTAATAAATTAAACTCACAAACGTGTACCCTACTCAAATGTATTGTTAAAATCATCTATTGCATTAGTTGTGTGGAAGTGTGGTGAGGCTCTGACTCAGTTGTTTAGGCTTTTTGTTATCAACAAAAGATTCAGGCAGATTACCTACTTGGATTTGGGTCTCGCCTTTTAACTCGTCCCTCAGTATCTGGTACATAGTTCTATATTCGATTTCAAAGTTCTTCATGATAGTTTTCGTGTAGCCTTTAGCTTAAGTTTTGATAAGTATGATTTTTTACGTCATTTTCCACAACCCCCCCCTTAAAGTGATGATACCTAGTTTAGCGTCGACCATGATGATCATGGAAATTACAACGAAAGAAGAAATAATATCATCAGAACATCCTCAATATGGGCTGCACCTATTCAGCATTGTACCACAGATTTGAACGCTGAGAATTCCAAATTGTACCACAAATTGTTTGGAATGAAGTGAATTATTATTACTATTATTATTGACCAACAATGAACTGGGTAGTTTGGAAAAACTTGAGCACCGAGTTGGTGTGATTCATCGCATAAAAGACGTAATTCACTTGTGTAGTCCCAGCGAAGTACTATTTGAGCAAATAACAAAATAAACAAATATTTTGTATTATTCCCCAACGTTTCGATCTTCTTCAAGAGTATGAATCTGGTATTAAGTTTTCAGGTTAATACTCGAGTTTTTGTACAGAAAGTGACCTTTTATGGGAGGTAGGAAAACTTACCAGTCAATGTTGCGAGAAATTAGAGGTTAATAATAGTGAACTGCAGGCTTCGCTTGTAAATGTCTACATAATTCCTTCGATTTGTAAGTAGTTATACATCTATCTAATTTATGTTGTACTAAAAATGCAACTTAGTGACCATGTTCTAGGTGTAGGCTATATTCGCTGATACTAAATTGCTTCATAAACCCTCAGTTGATGAAGCGGAGTTTAAATTCGTGAAAGTCGTTTAAGCTGGATACACTTAAAACGTCAAAACTTCCAGCTTTCTTAGTTAAAACTGTTAGACACTTACTGTGTGTAAACGCTACCACAAACAAGGAAGACGATTATCCGGTTTGTAAATCAGTTATGTCGCTTTTGAAATCTATTATTTTGTTTAGTGGTATATTTCGCATGTTTTTCAATGTTTTATTTGTGCAGTTATTTAGTATTCGGTTGGACAGTAACTGATAGGCACTTTTTTATCGTGTTTAAAATATACAACAGCAATAGTTTTCGCTAGATGCGTTGGTGATATAATGCAATAATAATCCTATTATTGTAATGGCTTATGCATCATCCTGGAGGGACTAAAGGATGCATTGAATTCAAAACTACGACCGGAACAGACTGGCTGGATTCAGGAAGTACAAATCGTGTGCGGACCAAATTCCAACGCTACACTACGCATCATCATAGAACAGAGCATAGAATGGCAATCAGCTCTCTACCTCAACTTCATCGACTTTGAGAAGGCCTTTGACAGCGTCGACCAAAAAGTAATTTGGCACTTGCTTCAATACTACAGAATACCACAAACCTTCATCAGCCTCATTCAACAACCATATGCAGACGCCACATGCCAAGTAATTCATAATGGGAAGCTCAGTGATGCTTTTGAAGTGAAGACAGGAGTGAAACAAGGCTGTCTATTATCACCCATGATATTCCTGATTGTGGTTGACTGAACTGGATCATGCAACAAACAGTGAGGAGCGAGAAGAGGGGATACCCTGGCTGGACCGCGGAAAAGAACCTAGAAGACTTGGATTTCGCCAACGATGACTTGTGTCTGATGTCGCACAAACTTGAAGATCTACAGGCGAAAACTAACAAGTTGTCGGAAGAGGCAGGTCAGCGAAGATGGAACTTCAAGTGAATATAGAGAAGACAGAGGTGATGAAGATATCCAACCAACACCATCAATGGGAGAAACTTAAAGGAAGTAGCCTCCTTCACCTATCTAGGGAGCACTGTTTCAACTACATGTGGCGGGACAGATGAGGATGTCAAAGTCAGCCAGGATTGGAAAAGCAAAACAGGCTTTCATTAACCTGAAATCAGTGTGGAGATCTGTACTCAGCATAAAGCATGAACAAGATCCGGATTTTCAACACCAACTCAGTCGAGTCAGTGCTTCTGTATGGCTCAGAGACTTGGCGCGTTACGAAAGGCATTTCCAACAAATTACGGACATTCGTCAACAACTGCCTACACTGGCTGGTTACTGAAGATCAGATGGCCAGAATAATAAGAATAAGCAACAAGGAACTCTGGCTGGGTGGCTGGCAACGAACCAACCAACGAAGCAAGAACCTATCGCTGAACAAATATGCAGAAGGAAGTGGAGATGGATTGGATTGGGGATACACTGAGAAGGCCGACTGAGGACATCATGCGTCAGGCCATGTCCTCGAGTGGAATCCCCATGGGAAGCGACGAGTTGGGCGTGTGAGGCAAGGGTGACATGGAGGGAGTCGTGCGAGGAGGAAATGAGAAGTTGTGGGCTGTGGTGGAGCCAGGTTCAAAAGATTTCAGAGAAGAGAGTGGAATGGAGATGTGCTACTGAAGCCTTATGTTCCATTAGGAACCCGAGGGATAAATAATATAACATAATAATACTGTGCTGCATAGTTTATATACTCAGTATTATGTGCCTAAAGTCTTATACACTCGGTCCTGGTTTTACCTGACGACCGATACAGCTTTGAGTAAAGATGATGCCGGTCATCTAATAAAATAACCCCTGCCAGATGTTAAGGCGTTTGTTCATAACAGTTCCAATTAGGAGGTTTAGAGATACACCAAAAAATAATGAGAAATAGTAGAGGAGAGTAGACAGGATACAGGAGTTTATAAAACACTGGAGAAGGTGCTGACTTAAACCAGATACTCTCAGCTTCCTAATATAAAACGTTAGGCGTAAAACTCTTCTAGAAATTAGTAAGATGTGAGAGGATTAGGAAAGGTCCGAAGAAAAACGCTGTGATAAATAAGACTTGTGACATTCTCTAATACACAGTCATCAATAGAACATGAGCCATTAGACTTCACCAGTTTACGTAGGTTATGTTTCAGTCTGGAACTAAAGTTTATGGTCTAAAATTTTGAAGAATTAGGTATAAGACCATTCACAGAGGACCATCATCCAGCAGTAGGTAGGGAATCGTCCAGTTGGAACAAGCCGCTGAAGAGAAGACAAGTATGGAAACTGTCAGATCATCAGCATAATCGATACTAATTGGAGATGGTGGGTCATATACAGAGAGTAAAAGAAAAAACCGGGGGTGTAGGACAGCACCTTGGAGAACACCAGTAAGCAAAGAGGTGGAACGCTTTCCTCTGTGAACAATGTATTGTTTCCTACCAGAGAAATAGGAATACACCTAGCTGATTACCCAGGACTGAAGTTTAGTCTAAAAGACCACACCTGACATTCCTATCAAGATTATAAGCAATTTTGTGATATAAGACAGTGTTTCTTCTGCTTTCGTATGCAAATTAATTAGGATCTCCAAAACCTTTAATAAAGGTTCAAGTGCAGGTATTATTAACTTCTCCATTAATTTCAAGAACAGAAAAGTAACTGCGATCGGACAGAATTTCAAACATGCACCTGTAGTCACCGACGGGGAATATCTTAATATATGGTACGGTTTTTTCTTAAAACAATCTATCAAAAATGTTAGTTACTGGATGGCATGATATATCAGCATATTTTGTGAATATGAAACTTGCCATCCGGGCCTAAAGTGTGTGAAGGGTCTAGGGATTTGAGATATTTGAAAACATCTTTCTCGGTGAATTTCAGAAAACATTCTTCGTTGGGAATGGGAGAACAGAGTGGGATGGGACGGTTGGATTCGTGTGTAAACGAGTTGTTCCAAGCACAGACGTCAACACTTGCTTCTTTACTGAGGCGTTTACTACAAATGAGGTCTTTAGAAAGTTTCCGCATACTGGAAGAGCCGTTGCATGATAAGAGTTCCTGGTTATATAGTAGACTCAGGCGTTTAATTTCCAGCCTAATTAAAACGTTCAACCGACAAGCACCAGCGTTTTCCCTTACTTTACATAGCCTTTTTTCCTCTTCTTAGTCTCTTCAGTCAGGAGAGGCGTAGAAATTTTTTTCGCCGGGGTAGCAGATATCTAAGAAAAACTTGAAATACCCTGTCACACCATTTATAGTTTCGTTCAAAACATCGCCTCATATATATTCCACTCTGTACCTTATAGCATTTCTCTTAGTTGAAATATGTTACTTTGTGGATAGTATCTACGTGTAATTTTCTTATACCGATGTGTGAAGACTGTTTTGGGCAAAACACATATAATCCAATGATCTGAGCAGTGCGGCTCTCTTTCGAGATTTACGTATATCGGTATCACTGACGAACACCAGGTCTAGTGTTGCATCCTGATGTGTCATGAAGTTAACTAGGCTTTAATGACTAAAAATTGTGAGAAAGCTGTGTTTAAAATAATTAAAGTCATCAAATATTTTTGACAGGAAACCACAGAGTATCGGGGCTGCGAATTCTGTGAATATAGAAAGCATAGAAACTAATTCAGAGTAACTGCAACCGGGCTTCACATATTTATGATATAAATAAAGCGATATTTGTCCAAATGTTTTGGGCCGCATTCTACAGTGATGCATTCTATTTAGTCATTTGATAATTTCAAGCATATATAACTGGAAATGCACCAATGGGTATTGAAGGAGGTAGCTACACCACATCCACATTTCTCAACAAAGCCACATCGATCCTGATAAAAAATCCTGAAACCATTAAAAGAAATCAAATTGCTATCTTAGAGGTTATGTAACCAAGTTTCTTGTAATGTAATTACTTCAACATTACGGTACACACTGGAGGTTATAAAAGATCATAAGTAATCCACTTTTTCCTGCAAAGATCTGCATTTCGTGCTTGGAATTTCAGACAGTCATTTGAGATGAAGTTACTCAAAGCACGTTGCCATCCACCGTGGTACTTTCTGCTCATTTTATTTGGTAAAGACATCGCAGTAGATAGTAAGCTTTCTAAAAATGTGCATGAATATATAATGCGATCACGGGACATATTAAAATGATTAAAAGAAACCAAAGTGCGGAAAAATGTGGTGCAATATATGAGACGGAAAATTTAGCTGCTCAAATACTTGAATAGACTGCTTGATAATGTCATAACGTATTTTCACTTTTGTCTTACCGGTATTATTATTATTTATTTGTCCCTCGGGTTCCTAAGGGAGCATAAGGCTTTAGTTGCGCGTGTCCATCGCACTCTTTCGAACCTGGCTCCATGACTGCCCAGAAGCTTTCATTTCTTCTTCACACGATCTCCTCCATGTCACCCTCGAACGCCCAACTCGTCGTTTACTCTTCGGGTTCCACTCGAGGACCTGGCCTGGCGCATAGTGTCCCCAAATGGTCTTCTCAGTGTATCCCTAATCCAATCCATCTCCACTTCCTTCTGCATATTTGTTCAGCGATAGGTTCTTGCTTCGTTGCCAGCCACCCAGCCAGAGTTCCTTGTTGCTTATTCTTATTATTCTGGCCATCTGATCTTCAGTATGGAGTGAGCGAGCGTAGGCGGCAGCTGTTGATGTATGTTTGTAGTTTGTTGGAAATGCTTTTCATGACGCGCCAAGTCTCTCAACTATCACATAGAAGCACTGACATTAGTGTTGAAAATCCGGATCTTGTTCTTTATTCAGACTGTAGTGCAGTAGATCTCCACACTGGTTTTAGATTAATGAAGGCCTGTCTTGCTTGCTTTTCCGATCCTGGCTGACTTTGACATCTTCATCTGCGCCACCTGTATTTGATACGGTGGTGCCTAGGAAGGTAGGTGAAGAAGACTACTTCCTTTAGATATCTGCCGTTGATGGTGCTTGTTGTTGTTGGTTGGGTATCCTCATCACCTGTGTGTTCTCTACGTTCACCTTAAGTCCTGTATTTGCTGCCCTGCCTCTTCTGTCAACTTGTTGGTTTTTGCCTGTAGATCTTCGAGTTTGTGTGTGACACTAGACATAAATCATCACGGGCGAAATCCAAATGTTCTAGGGAAACAAAGGTATAAAAAGCTGTAATTAGCTGCCGTCATTTTCTAGTTATCTGATATGTTTGACTGTGTAAAATAATGCAGTTAGCTGGAAACTTATCTTTACTATCAATGTAAGTGTGTTAATATCTTATTGTTCATATTGTAATGCTTTCTAAAGAATTTCCTACTTGCAAAAATTAATGAACCTTTTGCTCAGTATTGTATAGTTAAGTTTGCTTCCGTTTCAGGTTAATGTACATACTTTAACAGGACATTCAAATACGGTAGCAACTGTACGCTGTCAAGAATCCGACCCTCAGGTCATTACCGGCTCACATGATGCTACTGTCCGTTTGTGGGACTTGGCAGCAGGACGTACTTTAGCTTGTCTAACAAACCATAAGAAGTCTGTTCGTGCTGTATCTATTCATCCTACTCAGTGAGTCTTTTTGAATGAAGTCTTTTGTCAGAAATTCATTGTGTGCAGTCGCCCCAACGTTCCGCGATGACTATGCTGCATGCCTGTTTTTAGTTGTCGTAATAACGGAATAGTTTTCATCGAAATATTTGTTGAAGTGAATATTGACGTTATGGATAGTACTTCGCCAATAATCGAGTAAACTCAGCACTGGTACCATAAGGTAACTGTTCTAGTTAACTGTTATGTTCTTGATCCGACAGTTTGGATACTACTGTTGAACGTAAATTCGATCCTATAAAGAATGGCCCGAGAAATTACAGACCGCTGGTTATTTCCACTACTATTGCATCGAGCTGCTTTATGCCTATTCGATCCTACTACTGATTAACGTCACAACAACTTATTTAAAGAGAAAGCAAATGTATTCTACTGGCCAACAGTGAATAATAATGCATTTTACAAAATGCACGCCCCAAAAGCATCAGCGGTCTAGTCCGAATTCCAAGCAGTGAGAATAAAAAAGTGGAATTAAGATCATTCGCTATTGAGTGGTTGGTCTAATTTATCTCAATTAGGCATGCATCATTGATAAGTAATCTATGTCCCCAAGTTAGTATAATGAAATATTGTTTAGTTCAAACTCTGACAATGGAGATCATACCTAATGAGCACTCGAGTATTCCTTGTCATAATGACCTGATTTTGTCACTAAAAAGTAGCATAGCAATCTCCGAGGGTTTGGATGTTATCAAGTGCTTTGTTTGATAACTCCGTCAAGAATCATAGTTTTGTTCACAAGCTAAATTATCGTCTTTTCAAAACCAGCCAGTAGTCGTGCTGATTTCCGGTTTTTGTTTAATGGGTTTCCAACTATACTTTTTCGTATCACTGATAATATAACTTATCCAATTGGGTAATCACCTGGTCAGCATTAAAGGTTTGAAATCCTCTCTCTTAAGCTTTGAGCAAGTGTTAAAGACCTCATGTGGAATAAGCATGACTCGTTGCATTGTACACAAACCGTCCTGTAGTTGAGTTGATCAGTTTTGTTTTTTTTATCAGTGGAAGGTGTTCTAATTAAGACAGTATTTTTCCAATTATCTTTTTTCGCTGTGACTGTTGCTAGTCGAATGGACTTTCAACTAGGGTGATCGAATATGTGGTTCCCACAAAGATAATCTTTTTGTTCAGTTCTCTTGATAGTGATTGTTTGTAGACTTAGCTGGACTGGCATTAAAAGACAGGTGCTAACCTGTAACTTAGTATCTGACCAAACAAAGCACATACACAGAATGTGAGGTTTGAAATAGAGATTTTAAAATTTACCCTGGTAACCATTTAAATAAATTACCGAGTTTCTTTATTTCTATGGACTGGGTACTTTTTCCTAGAATAAAAACACCTAATTGATTATTTAAATAGTTGTAAGAAATGTATCTAGAGGAACTCCTGTAACACATGCGGTTAGGAATCATTTGATGCGTGGGTGAATATTACAAAAGGCTATTTATCAAGCCATAGTTATAACCCTGACTTGCAGAATTATTCACAAATCTAATATTATCACGTCGTAAACCTGTTTTTGTTCTCAAGGTACTTCTGCTTACAATCAAAGCATCTTAAAAGGAAATATATTGATAAAGGCGTTGCGTAGTCGAACTCATGTATGTTGACACTAAAGACAGTTCAAAACTTCTAGAATAATTGATTTAATTATTTCCACTGTTTTAACCTTTCCATGCGAAACTATTTTATTTACACATAAAGAAAAAACAATTTTAGTGTGCTGAATTTACTGCATAAAAGAAAACTTAGTGATCGAGACGGAAATGGCTCTTAGTCATTGATTATGAAGTCACTCAAAGCTTACTGGTCTCTCGAAGGCACTGAGGTTTCATATCTGGTTGTATAAAACTCGTTCATAAAGGTTGAAATGTCTTTTAATTTCGTCTTACTGTCTGAAAGAGAAAGTTTTGGAATACTGAAGCTTGATAACATGTTGAACTCCGCTTTTAGAATTTGGGTGAACAATTGTTTCTCTGTTGATAAATATACTTTTCTATTTTCTACGGCTAGATATCTGACGAATTTGATATATATATATATATATATATATATATATATATATATATATATATATGTTTGCCTTTCAGAAATGCATTCGTTTCTGGCTCTCCTGATAACATCAAACAGTGGAAACTTCCTGCTGGTGTTTTCCTTCAAAATCTTTCCGGACATAATGCTATCATTAATGCTGTTGCCATTAATCAGGATAATGTGGTTGTCAGTGGAGGTATGCTATGATTTTTATCTTATGTATGCACTGAAATAATGTTCCCATACATAATCGCAGATTTATTGCAATATATTCAAGTATTTGACGATTGTAATACTTATCTATCAAGAAATTTAGTAACTGTTTCTCATGTTGAAAATGTTTTCTTCAGGTGATAATGGCAGTGTTCACTTTTGGGACTGGAAATCAGGTTACAACTTTCAGCGGCTTCAAGCGCAAGTTCAGCCTGGTAGTATTGACTCTGAAGCTGGAATATTCGCCTTAGCATTTGACCGTAGCGGATCTCGTTTGGTCTCGTGTGAAGCCGACAAGACAATTAAAATTTTCAAGGAAGATGAAACAGCGGTAAATTATGGTTATTTTCATCGTAACTTCAGTTTTGCTATTTATTCTTTATATGTCTGCCCCGAGTACTCATAAACTTGCTGCTGCACTTCAGTGTCGAATACACTGCATCGATCTGCCTCTAGTTGTGAGCAACTTTTGTCAAAAATTGAGTATTTCGATTCAAAAAATAGCCGCAACTCAGCGGAGATAAACGACAACCCGCTGTCTCTACTTACGTCTCCAAAAACAACTAAGGACTGTTTAGAAAGAAAGCCTGATTTCTAAGAGAAAGCTGCATGTCCTGGTAATAATAACATACTTTGTTCAATAGGTAATAGTTTTGTCACCTAGGACACCGTCATTCAGTCTGTCAAATGAACTACACAGAAAACTCAAACTCTTCATTCGAGGTGAACACTTATTCAATTTAGGAACTGATTTTTTGACAATAAACCAACCGAAAGCTTGAAACAACTCATCATACATCCCTTTACACACTAGGTTTTAGTAAGGCGACTTTAATTTGATCGAGTTTACTATAAACGTTTCGCAGATAGGGTTACAGTAAGAGCTCTAATTTTAACAATAACCAATTAAATTGCATAAAACTAAATCGAACGTATATTTCAATTTTCAGACGGAGGAAACGCATCCATTGTACTGGCGCCCTGGACTACTAAAGAAGTCTAGATACTAATCCTTATACCAGTATAGTTCTGCTCAACGTGTACAATATAATTTCAGATAGACATTTTCTTGTTTTCTGCATCACATATGATCTGACGAAATATTCGTTTGCGGTTTGATATCTTATTTATTCCCAGCGCAATCGTATCAACAATGATGCTTACGTTGAAAAACCATACCGTCTCTGGTTGTAATTATAAATAGTCAGCTACTTACACAATACTTTTTTTTATCGAGTGATCTTTGAAATGCATTCATTAATTACCAAGCATTCAGCATAATTTAGGAGCCAATAATGGCACTGACTCTAATAAGCTAGGTTCACTTCTTCTTATTCTAATAGTAGCGTCGAGTAAAGAAAATAAAAACTCTTAAGCGTTATCACTAAATAACATAACGAGCTAACATTCTTAGCCTATCGTTGTTGTAAATCTCTAGTTTTAAAAGAAAACCGCTGCTTATGAACGAATACACGTAGGAATAAATCCGGACAATAAAACAAAAGATAATCATTACATCAGTTTTATCTTTTTACACGGTAGTTTACTTTCACCAGAGTCATTTTCTGCAGATTGTTTATTTACACAGGGTTTAACAGAAATTGATGAAACATTTGGCATTGACAATAGCTTTAAAAGTGCAGCTGCACCATGTGCAGTTTTGCTTCGCATAAGACCATGAGTTACAACAGCGAAAGGTGCTTTAGTAAGACAGGAATGAGTAGCTTCCCGAGGTTGTAATCCAAGACAGCTTAGCATGGCCGATACTGCCACTGGTCGACGAACTTCCCAACCACAGGAAGCTCCGGAGCTGACAACTATCATGTTGACAAACGATTTTCGTGATAAGCAAAGCAAACTGCTAAAGTATTGTGATAAGACTGAACGTGCACTATAGGTACTCGAAGATGAACGAAGTACTGGTGCAAGTTGGAATTCAAGGTGGATACCTTTTGACATCATCAAGTTGCATTGCTTGCTTAGAAGACGGATTTCACTTGATTTTGTGAGATCAACCGTGATAAGGTCGATGTTTACAGCCTTTTCACATGCATACGCAAGAGCTTCGTTTGATGTGGGACAGAAACTCACGATATCAAAAGAATTAAGTTTGTTCTCAAATTGACGGAAGAACAGGCCAGCATTCTCGGCACTATTACATTGTAGTGTCAGGCGTTTGAAAATCCGTGGCTTACACGATACAGTAGGAGAAGATACTGATGCTCGATAGACACTACTTTCCTCAATGTGCTTTTCAAGCATTTCTGTGGATGGTGGTTCCAGCTTTGCGGTGAGATCCAGACGCATGGTTTGTCTTTCTTCTTTGCTTTTCTTTCGGACGACAGATTCTGATTTGACGTTGAAATTGAAGTCGTCGATTGACACACGCTGGTTGACTGCCACATACTGATATCCACAGTCGAAAATTCGTGCAAGAAGACATGCATTCACTGCCTCAAGAGGAATGTCAAGGTCGTAGTACTTGCTATCCATTTCAAGAAATAACTACCGGCTCGTTTGTCTTGAGGAATTCAAAGGCATAGATATCAACACCTGAAAAGAAAAATCTTATTTCACTATATTAGCGAAATGAAAGGCAAATAAAACAGAAAATACCTCAATTATGAAAGCATACCTATATTTCTTAATTTGACCGTATTGTATCGCTTTACTGATTACCAAAGTTAAGGTGGCAGTTAAAACCGTAATTATCACCTGAAAGTGTCAGTTCTAATAATTGCATCTGACCCATAAACCAGTTAATTGCGCCGTAGTCAGCTTGACTAGTAGTCCTAGTTCAACATGCATGGACTTGATAACTGTGATGACAGAGATTATCGCCCTTTGGGGGAATGGCGTGTCATGAATGTTGGCAAGATCAGAAATAACAATCTAATTGGGGAATCTCAGTGAAAAATCACACCAGTTCAGTATACTCGTCCTTTGATAAGTAGTCCTACAGCTTGTCAGCACCAAATATAGCGACGGCTGGAGAATGCCAAACGGACCTTTTTAGTTTGAGCTGAGATTTTACCAACTCATTGGTGGATGTGTCGACCAGATACTCACTCACTGTCAGATTCTGCAGCACAGGTACACATTACAGCCCCTGACACTGTTTCTTGACCTGAGTGCGTCAACCACTTCATTTACATGGAGAGTTGCATCAGCCCGAACAGGCTGGTTGCTGTCGAAATATCAGCTCGGCTACAGAAAGTCCGTTTGCCATTTGTCAACTTGCGTCACCTCTGGAGTGAAATGGCAAGATATCATACTACTTGCTAAAGGTCGAGTATACTGCACTGCAGTCCGTTCTGTCCTGTAGTACGGCTGCGAGACATGGCAGTTGAGAATAAAAAATAGGATACTACAGGCTTTTGGCCTTCGTAGCATTGCTGGCGTATGGGAAAAACACCACGTGGGCGATCCGGATGTTAGATGAATAGTACTAGAGAAGTCAGTGGATAAATATGTAAACCATTGACCGAGGTGGCTTGGAGAGGTGTCGCGCATGCCGAGCCTCGGCCTACCTGGAAGTGCAATGTTAGCAGAAGTTGTATTAGGTTGGAAGAAGACTCATGACAGCCAGCTCATGAAGTCTGTGAAGATTGGTTTGAAGCGAGTAGGGAGGTGAGACCTGAGGCGAGACCATGGTAGTCAGTGGTCTAATACTGTTGGTGGAATGACTGAAAATCCTTAGCAATGAAGCAGATGTATTCACCCTTTGACGTTGAAAAATCTGAACATTTTTACTAACTTTCATTCCTCCAAGTTTTCTTCTTCCTATGCACATTTGTCCACTTTGATTTCACTTCTAAGCACCGTCAAGTGTGGTAAATTGAATTGATACTGTACTATGTGAGACTGTGTTAGTTTCATGTCTAGTATACAGCCTTCATTACAATGGCGTAGTGTTCACAGACACAGTATAGCTGAATCAATGAAGTCGAATACTACCTTCAGACGAAGAAAGGCAGGTAGTATCGGTCGTCGATAAGTATATATATATATATATATATATATATATATATATATATATATATATATATATATATATATATATATATATATATATATATAACTTCTCACTCTGCAACCACTATCAATGATCAAAGCAATCAAAACTTCAATCCTAGTCTCCTAAGACTCCGCTACCGATCTCATGTTAGAGCTTTAAACGTTCGAACTATATGCCAAATCCGACAGCAAACATTGCTCGCCATAACTGATATCTCTAGCAAAGGATTTATGCTGTCATTGAGATACGTAAACAGGCCCCTAGTGTGATTATTAAATTGAACTCATCTAGCCATAGAAGTGAATCTTCAAAATTTACCTCACGAGTATCCGGAGACGCAATGACCAACTCTCGTGGACTTCCTGGTGTAGACATAGCAGGTAATCGTAGAGCAGAAAGTGAGCTGCTTGGATGGTTTCCAGCAAATAGCAATCTATGCGCTGTTCAACTGAATAGACCTGTAAGGACTAGGATGGATCATGAGACTAAGCGATGCCTATTCGTAGTCAACGCCCATGCACTCACCGACTGCAGTTCAGATGATGTAAAGGGTGAATTCTACGAAAAGCTGTCAACTTTGCTACAGAAACCAAAACGTCCAGATAGAGCCATAATAACAGGTGACTTTAACGCTCAGGTTAGGAGAGCTGAGTCAATCGGGGGATTAATGGGATCCCATGTCCATGAACGGACAACGGTGATCATCTGTTACAATTTTTTGACGATCACTTGTTTCTAGTCAGCACTAATTTTAGGCATAGGAAGAGACAGTATGTCACACAGCATCCGCCGACATCAAACCAACGATGGACACAAAGATTACATTGTTATAAGCCATCGGTGGAGGATTGCTGCTCTTTCTGAAGTACCAGTTTGGACTCTAATAACGCTTTAGTACGCGTTTGCGTATGTCTGCGTCTAACTGGTAGCAGGAAATGAGGCAGAAGCCCATCTATACTCGATTGGTAGATGAGGATCCCAAGAAAGCATTGGGAGAGCAGTTAGCTAAGCACTTATCTGATTATGACAGCAGTGCTCATCCTGAGGGAACCTGGCGTAATATTCAGCCTCCTGTAAAAACAACGGTAAAGACAATTGCTAACCTACACATGAGCAACGCTGAAGTCAGGTGAAAAGTACTAGGTAAAACAGGCAGGTCAATGGATAAGTTTGTGACTCTGTATTTTGTCAGCGTCTTCCCCTAACGCGTCAATATCGTCTGTATACTCCAAATTAACGGAATTCCCTCCACGGAGTATATCAATCCCTGTGAAGTCAGATGTACCTAAGGTTATGTACATTAACACGTCTATTACGAAGTTAAGTATGAATGGTGACAGTGGGTATCTCTGGCGGACACCAAAAGTTGTCGTCCATTCTGACGACAACTCTTCATAAGCACTTGAACGACTGCGTGGGTTCGAGTAGAGAGCTTTGATCAGCTTTATATACTTGCTCGGTACTGCATTCACAGTTAGACACTGCCACAACACCTCACGGCCGGCAGAGCTAAATCCCACCTTCAGGCCAAGAAATATGGCAAATTTCGGCCGCCGGTAAATATGCTTGTGTTCCAGTACTTGTAGGAGGGTGAAAATATGATAGATGCACCAACATTCAGATCGGAAACCTGTCTGGTTCTCTCGAGTATGTTGTTCTCGAGCTCTAGTTAGGCATCGGATAACTATGGATCCTGGATACAATATTATTCAAACTCATTCCACTATAGTTGTCACAGAAAGACTCCTATCCATTCTTATAGACTGGGATGATCAGAGTAGACCAGTACGACGGGACGACCTTTGACTCCCGTACATTACCTAGTACCTCCACCACTCTTATCAGCAGTTTCCTACATATGTCCTCGGAAACTTCAGGTGGCAGTCTGTCAGGTCCTGCTACTTTGAATCGTTAGGGGAATCCATACAGCTTTCTCAACCTCGAGGAGAGTTGGGGGCCCGACAAGTACCTTCCATTAAAGTTCAGGCTGAATGTTGGGCTGAGAACCAGTTGAATTGAGCTTTAAAGTGTTCTGTCCGACGTTATAGCCATAAAGGTACCATACTATTCGGTGATTTCACTAACCACCGTTTTTCTTTTACCGCCATCCTTAATAACCCTGAATAGTTGCCGGGTGTTACCCAACACGGATGCCTTTTTCACTTCTCTCGCGTTCGCCACTCACCACCGCTCGTGATCATTGCGTTCAAGTGGGTTTCACTCTTCATCGTGGTCAGAGCCAACGGGAATCAGTTCTGCCGCACTAATCACTTTGCATAAAGCTGTGGAAATACAATTATTTCAAAATATTAAGGGCCTTACCAGGTTAAAGATTAAGTCACTTATGTGCAATAGAAATAAGTCAGGTCCACTCGTTGTGTCTCAGAGAGCACGGCCACTGCAAATCCATATTAGATTCTTTATTCTATCAAGCACGCAGTAATACATTATAATTTGCTGGATCACGCGTAGAGCAGAATTTACTGTTCATATTCATATCAAAGGGCTTATACAACTTTCAAACTTCATTTACATAGTCAAACCGTTCTTCATTCTCTTATCTTGGTGGTCATAAAATCTTCCAGGTATTCACAATGTGTGGTGAGTCATCCCTGTTACATATGTCGCGTGTTGACTCACTGAACAAAGATCCTGTGATCAATCTCCCCTCATGTACTCAAAGTAGCCTATCGATTTCAGTCACAGTCACAGACCACAAAAATCCAGAGAAACACAATGTCACACCCTACTAAGATAAGTAATTCAAAACTCAGCTATCGCTCTCTTCACGACACTTGAACAACCCATCTGCGCCACAGTCTTTCGAAAAGCCCTACAATCCCTACAATGTCAGTCAACATCCAACCCCCAGTATTACAGCAGGCGAGTGGGTAGGTCTTCTGCATCGGAATCCACCGATGACCTGGGACCTTCCCGCAATGTCTAGAGTCGAGCATGAAGGGATTCATCGGTTTACACTAGCCTCGCTAGCAAATAGATATTGGTTGCAATGACCCATAATCGTACAATAGGGTAGGGCAGGATGACAATTCTGAAATCCCATAGCTACCTGGAGACTGATCACATCTTTATTTAATGAGTTAATACGTACCATATGTGACATAGGTATGATTCATCACATATTTCAAATATCTGCAAATTTTTATTGCCACTCAAAATACATGAATGAATCGTTGGATTGAATGAAGATTGTATAGTTATACAGCAGTTCTACATTATAAGGGTAGTTTGAAAGTCATATGATTGCTTTGATAAGATTATGGCAGTAAGTTCTGCCCAAAATGTAGCCAAGTAAACTTTTATATGTCTACGTGTTTCATCGAATAAACAATCTAATATGTGGAGTTAAACTCTACCACAATGGCTAAATCTTACTCTCAAATTATTGGTCACTGCAACTTTCCAGCATGTGATACGCTGATATTTTTAAGCTAACTATCAACCTATGCAAAATCTTAAAAACATGATGACATATTGATGAAAAATAGGACTTACAGGCCAAAGAAGAAAATCATGTTACGGTAACGCAACTGTTTAGACATTGCGCTGAAGCAAAGTACTCCTTTTTCATAACACCCATCACAGGAATCTGTATTGTAGAATCTTATTTCTATGAATTGACCCGTGTTATTTTTCTGTGTCGTGTAATGTCAGGTAAATAACGTATTGTGCTAACTCATAGTTAGCCCGGCTTTCCAATGTCAAGTCTACAATACTTACACAAGAACCGGACTTAAAAATCTACAGATCTTGTCGTGAAACGGTCGTCAGGATTCCCCGAGTGAACTGCTTAATATTCGTGTTCTTTCAAGTGAGCAAAAAAGCAAGATTTCATCCCTAACATAAACAATATCGCACCGGAGTTTGTGGGGTAAACGATGATTTTACTCATGTCTTTAGTCAACGCGAAATGTTTTTGCAATTAACCCTCTGTTATAAGAGGAGCAAGATGCAGGACTGACACAATTTTCAATGAATAATTGCGTTTCAAGAACAGGTCAGTGACACCACAAGACTTCTTTTGTGCGAACGACTAGAGTATACCTTTCAATTCTCTTCTAGCTGTTTTCTCATAAACCAAATTTTAGCTGCAGTTTGTAGTTTCTGAAGTGCGTTTTCGCTGCTCGATATTTGAACAGCAGTGAGCAGTATTTCATGGGGAAAAAATGTATGAGAGACGTTTCTTCAACCAACTCAGTTTAACTGCCTCGTTCCACCATCAAATTTGAATCATAAACTTGATCCTAGACGAAACCATTTGTCATTCACAAACAACTGAACTAACTTCAACTGTCTGAGTTATGAATAGAGTTCAACCACTTGGTTAGGTTTATTTTAATCCACTTAAATTCCTAACTAATTCTACCACAGGAATGCTACAACGCAATTGGAAAGTAATTTGGCTTTCTGAGAGTTGGTAATTGGGGAATGCATGATTTATGCGCTTGATGTCACGAAACCGTCACCACATTTCGTGTAAACTGGAACCCAATTTAAGGCCCACAGTCTGAAATACACCTTGTTTTTCAAGTGCTATTTGCGATTTCGCCCTGAAATTATATTGCAGGCGATTTCCATCAATGGTGTGTTGTGCGCACCCGTCAGTTCTCAGTGATTTGTTTCAAATAGCTGAAGCTCCGAGCAAACAGGGAATACTGTCAGCGGCACAAACCCAATAATTATTACACTTCTGAAACATTACTAACCACTCTCAAATGATGGTCAGCAGTAATTTCCTCATTCCATTACTAGGTATGGTGGGATGTAGAAGAATAGGCGGACAGTTGTGATGGAGTCAGTCAGTGTCGCGAAGTCTTTTAAGCCTTTAACAAGACCCTGGAGATCAATTGGACTGTTGCGGACAAAGAAATCGTTTTCAACTTGCAGGTGACAAGGATGTCTTTCTGATGTACATTTCTGCGAAGAACTTGGTAATCAGTCTCGCTTGATGAATGCAAAGGGCTTTCGCAACGTTCGGTGTTGATCAGTTCAGGTAATCTGACAACCACGGTACATGCACCTGAACCACTCAAACCATCAGTTTTGGCTGAGAGTTTCCGAGACTTCACATGAAAGAATGTGATGCCTACGAATCGGTTAGCACTATAAAACTAGCGGGGGATACCTTTCTGTGCGGGAATAGAGTTAAACGCAACTATTCCAAACACGCAGTTCTATCTTTTCAAGCTTCTGACCAAACAAAAAGCTATCCGCCACTTTCGTTTTGCCCAGGTCGAGTATCCGAGTACTTGTCGTAGGCTAAATATCAAGGTTATAGCTCGACGGTCCACACATACACACGAGACTTGCTTTTTGCGAAATGTGATGAAACTAGACTTTACCTACCTCCGGCGTTCCAGACACATTAAGCAGCCGGATTGTGGAAGCGCGAAATATGCTTTTAGTGTTCCTCACGATACGCTTGTAATATCCAGCCTCATAGAACGATTGGGGTGATCGCGTAAGACATAAACAACAAACTAGCGTTGTTGCTGTCGCACATTTTTATATTCCTAGAATCGTTTCAAGGCAATCCCTCCTGCCAGTTTTTTAAATTCCCTGCTAAATTCGTGAATAGACATCGCTAAAATATCCTGACCCAGTGTGGCCACGGGCAGTATTTGCCCGAAATACTCCCAAAATAAGAACTAATCAATGTGTATAAACTTTGCATTAAGAATTCACTCACAAGACACTGCATTCATAGTTCTGAGAATGCTTATTTACCTTTTGCCTCAAAGAAAGCAACCTACCTAAACTTACCGCAAACTGCGTAACACCCTGCAGACATGTATTATTCTACATTTCGTCGACATTTCCGTGCAGCTAATCAATTAAACTCGCGAAAACTGGCTCCACACAACCACTCTATCCGTAATCTAAGCTTCACCATCTTTATGAACAGCAAGCAACAAAACGTTTAGCATTGGATGTGTGATGTTTGTACCGCACATCCGTCCAAATAACATCTACCAGTCATTCTCTCTGGCGACCACTACCACAGGAACGAATCCAGTGTTATGGTGCACCAAATTTAGAGTTTTATCGCCTGTAGTAATTTCTAGTGAGGATTGGCCAAAGCATTTTACAGACTGTATGCTAAAAGGGTAGTAAAAGTTAATGAAGTTCACTCCCGTTCCAAAATCAACTCCCTCACCTCCCCAATAAGTGATGCAAATGGGAAACTGGTTAATGAGGTAAATGTTTCCGTGGTGGCCGTGCCTCACTCAGGGTGCTTACTGCAGTTACACCATGCCCTTATCATATACCACATATTTGGTGTCGAAGCATTGGTAATTTTGTCGGGCCACTTTGAGTACAGGGACCGCAGGAATTTGCTCTGCATCTCTACGTCCTACGTGTTCCAAGATCTCTCCAAGAAGGAATATATGCGCACAGTTAGTTCAAGCTAGTACTGGTTGTCTTGTTCATTCCTTTCTTCTTGTCCACTCCTATGGATTTTTCAATTTAGTGTCACCATCACTAACAAAGCAGACTAAATACCTCCATTCAATTAACAGGAAGTCAGTCTTGCATAAAAGGCTTATACTGCATCTCGCTTCCTTTACTGGGTCGCAATGGAAGAAAAGTATCATCACAAACAATCGACATAAAATGATGCTACGGTATGGGAAACCTTTTCATTGAGTTTATGGCTTCTGAAGTTGTTTCATTTTTATTGCTTAAACGATGGAATGCGGCGGAATATAATGCAGTGCTGGGCAAGAACTTAACGAACAACGGAGGGTGAAACAAACTTGGGCCAACTTAGCCGCTCTCTTGTTGATGTCATGGTATCATCGAACATCTGAAGTTGACAAAATGTGAAAGCCTATTTGTTTTCTCCTTGCTACCAAGCTACTCTTCGACAGAAAGAATGGCCATTTATTTCGATTATAAACCGTACAAGGCATTTGCTGGGAGAGATTTATGCATTCCGGTGTTGTGTTCAGGGTGGTTTCATATGGAGCCTTCGACAATATCCAGGTGGTCTTCGCTTCATTCTTATACAGTTCATCTGCTGTCATAGTATGTCGCACACATCTAGTTGTTTGACTTTGCCGTCGCGATTGCATCTTGAATCCTTCTGCACTTTCATAAATTTCATCGAACTTCTAGACTAGACAGGTTTTTGAATGCATTTTTTGGTTATATCTCACGCGATAATGGTGGATCATCAAGTTTTCAAGTGCTACAAGGATGTGAAGATTTGTTTATCGTTGTACATGCGATGTTGAAGTCACGTGCAAAGTTGAAACCAATACGGTAGAACGGAATCAAGAATTTTCCGGCACATTAACACCGATTTTGCCTCTAACTTGACTAACAGATAAGTTTGGTAGTACTGTTTCGTCGACAAGTGAAATGTTACTGTCGCGATCACTTGTAGCTGACAATGTCTGTAGTCGTATTTGTGCCTGCACTTAAAGTCGTATATGAGTTTTACAGATACGTTTATTACCTTTGGGGAAGAAGATCTTTGGCGATGTTCGACATCTATCATTCATCTGAGATGGTGGCCATCCGAGGGCTGAAAGAAAGAAGATTTTGGGCTGCAGACAAATTATGCATGTTGAACTATATGCTGAACGTTTGCGCCCATTCAAAAATTTATAGGTTTCCGGCAGAAGTCGTGTTTAATGGGTGTGTAAAAGCGTCATATAGAGGAGAAATAGAAGCGATTCAACTGATCTATTATCAAGGAATCATTGGTGACTTAATTACTCAAAGGTTTCCGTTTGGAAGATTAGGAATAAAGACGAACGTACCTCAGTAGATTCCTCCTACCACTAGAATGATTTACTGCTCCAAGTTCACTGTAGCGTCCAGATATTCCGAAAAGTCCTATTTCGTCCACTTATGCTAATGTTATCACATGTCCGCCATAATTGTCATAAAGCTGTGCGCCTCATTTGATCGCCTCGGGATCAGTTGTCGAACTTTACGCACTTACGAGGCCAATTCAATGTTTCAACGCCTATAAATAAAGTAATAGGCGCAGTTCCGCCTTATGTCTGTGCCGTATGCGACTTCTGCGGAGAAAACCGTGCCAGTCATGCATTCTGGCTAAATCATTGCGGCAAGCGCATGGTTTCAAGTTACACCAGACGCATAGGCCAAATCTCAATCATTTATATTTCCTGTCGTGAGCCAACAGACTGCATGGTAGAAGTATCATTTTATGCTTCTGTTAGATCTACAGGGACCAAGACTCAGACGACGTACACAGGTATTCATTAAGGGCTGCATGAATGCGAAATAGTCACTTCAAGACTGATGCAGAGACTTTCAAGAAAAGTACTGATGAATTATTGTAATTGTGGCCTAACTGCAGGTTTTCCGGTTTCTGTTTACAAGAGAAAATTAAGAACGAGGAAAAAAAGAACAAAGGAGTTGTTTCTATGAATATTTACGTGCATGCACACTTGGAATGTCACGCTAGTTACCATAGGCATATCCTTAGGTCTCTTGTGTCTACGCTGGGTAAATTTGTGGTACCCATTACATTTTCTTGATGCCTTTATAAGGGGCGTGCCTGATAGCGACTCAGATAGCGATGGTG